CTCGCTGCCGAGCTACATCACACTAGTGATCAACCGATTTCGGTTCATGAGGAGCCCAAAATGCTGAGCATCATGGGCGCTCCAAGCATATTGATGTGCGTTTTATGTTTGTTCGAGATCTCGTTGAGAACAAGGAGTTTATTCTCCATTATTGTCCTACCAAAGAACAATGCAATTGTGGACTTCTTTACGAAGGCGCACCCGGAATCTGCGTTTCGCAGGTTCTGCCTCGCTCTGCGAATCTATGCCCTTGGTGACTACCTTTGTGGCCGTGTACCCCGGTGAATATATGCACTTCATGGTATTTACCATGATCTTTGAGCACTCTTGTATTGTATAGTACTATTAGTATGTACTAGTGCTGTACTACTAGTATGTACTAGTACTGTACTACTAGCACTACTGTAGTTCTACTGTAGTGCATGTACTCAAGAAGAGTACAGTAGTAGTATACAGATTAATCAGTCAAATTAGTTTATTGTTGATTACGTTCCAGAACACCGTAATTACTAAACGATGGTCATAAATAGTGCATTGAATATCTTGAGATAGCTTAATATGACGCATTTTGGCAGTTACGTTGAACTTGATTAAAGTATGCATTGATTATTATGACGTTTACCTTACACTTGATTAATGTATTGCGCACAATCGAAAACATTGACAACGATTGTATACCGCTTACGCTTTGGGCGCAGTCTCCTCGTGTGTTCATCGTTCACTGCTTCTAACGTTAACGATATTACTATACTGTAATGACTTTACTACTACGTAGTACTACCCCGTACCTTAATGTTTGTTAGATTTACCACTTACGTGCAAGTTTTTACCGTTTATTAAGTTACTGAATTTTTACTGTACGGCCTATATTGATCTAATCTTTGTATATAGATAATTCTACTACAAATCAGATAACGTCCTAGTTTGATAAAAATTATGAGGAAACACAGTAAAAATCAATCATCGTTCCTGACAGTTTTTGTCGCATAACTTCAAGGGTATTCTAATTTGGGCTCTCTAATTGAGTTAAACCTGGCTCCTAATGAAAATCTCTATTTGGTAGTATTCCTACAGTCCAGGCAATAACCCATTTTGGCCGACATCCGCTTGTTAAAAAAGCTCAAAAGCCAAATCAATCAAACATTTCCGTACGGAGGTAGTACTACAGTAGTGATGCTAGCTAACGTAAGCAATCAATGACTCGGCCGAATTTGATGATGTTTGTTTGGAGGATATTTCATGCAGTATTTACAACCAGCTGCACTTTTATAATCTTTTGTCCAAGCCCTTTACTGTTAGTTCGATTCAGCTAGTAGACAATTAAAATGCTTGGAAGTGAAGTATTATAATTGTAAAGATGGTCACTCCAAACAATGAATCATCGATCTACCAAAATATAGATTTGATTAGAGTACTAGGAATGCCTCGAGCAAACAATACAAATATCTTTTTATACAGTTACTGTTCGTTTATAAAGCAATTAAGTATCATAGGTTCAACGTACCTCTGGATGATGCTGAAAATCTAGAGTCAAATGTTCTTGCACACAAGAATTAGGGAATCACAGGTAGAAATCTGGGGGACACACACGTGTATCAAAACAAAAGGGAATTGACCTAGCGTTACAGCAGCGAGCGACGACAGAGCATCCGCCCACAAAATTGCGCGCACCGCAGCGCAGCGGAGGTCGTGTGTATAATTTTGTGCAGGCGGTGCCTTGGCGAGGAGTGAGCCCCAATCGTGCACTTCACCGAATGTCCAATCGATTCCTCTCGTCGGGAAAGCGGCAGGTAGGCCGCAGGCCGTGCCGCTCCTAGACGAGGCCTGTGGAGGACCAAATTACCTTATATAGTATTTGTAACGTTACAGTTTCATATGATTCCCCATTTTCTACCTGTGATTCACTAATTCTTGTGTGCAGTGTTTCTGTACTCGAAAATCTATTACAATATTCGTCGAATAATATTAGCTAACCAAGGGTTTCATTGCTGCGGTAAATATTTTCATCCAATCATATCAAGTTTGATATTCTATTGGGCATACCACAATGCCATCCGTAGATCGTATTTACTGGTACAATACATGATAGAGTATGTACTATTATTAATAATAGTACTTCTTTACTGTACCTGCTAAGTAGTAACGTTACTGTGTTACTACTGTACTGTACCACTCCGTCCCAAATCACTGACACGTTTGATGTTTGCTACATTGTGGTTTTATGACCAATCATTGGATTTGAGTGAAATTTGTACCAACCAAAAGAGTAGGATCTTGGCTATAAGGTCATATAATTATATTGCCATTCTTCCAAATACTGCGTGTGTATTCTTCAAATAAAATCAGCCGCTCAACCCAAAATTTTCAAATGTTCACCGGACTTGAAGAATGTATGGAGATTGTCTCAAATATATCGAAAACAAGAGGTGACTTCGGCAGTATAATTTAATTCCCAGGAAGATGTCAATGTCACCTAAATGTACCTATGTCACCTTCCTTGTGATTGGCTCAACTGTCCTTGATAAAGTAATATTTTTTAATAAAATTGATTGTAACTAATAAAATGTCCAAACGTGTCAGTGATTTGGGACGGAGTGGTAGTACGTAGTAGTTAGCATACGTGGTATTGTACTAGTCTTGTGTGCAGTATCAAATCTCCTCCTTTACAGAACTGTACAGTACTGTAATCATTAACTGTACTCTATGCCGTATCAATTTTTGACCTTATAGTACTCCTTCTAGTACTATACAGGGTACTAGCATGGTGCTCTCATCGGATGTACCAGTCCTTCCTTTGAATGCAAGGTCTTGTGTCAACCAAGCTTCGAACGGATGAAACTCACACCAAGCGTACGGCATGCTCCAGGCCATCAATTCTCCTCACAGTACGGGCGCAGGAAGAAAAACTTGGCTGGTTATGCTGTGCCTGAATGGTTGGTTTTCCTTGTCTACGAGTGATGCCAATAAAAGTTTCTCATTTTTCAATTTTCCTCCCTGGCGCCCATTGCGGCAATGTTCGTCACCATCAAGTGCGCCCGCGTCCGCCTAGTACCCCAGGCTGTAATACTTATCTACAACGGAAGATGGTATGGGGGCAGGACAACGGTTAGCCAGTGAAGGTCATCCGTCATCCTTCGAGGTGGGCACGATGCTTTGGAAAACTGTGTGAAATCCCAATAAACTTCACTATTATATCAATGTATGATTTCCTGTCTTGTGTTCACATAATAAGCTCCACAAAGTAAAATAATCACTTCACACATACATGTACTGTCCAATAAAATTAATTCACCGTACTTCTACTCAAACCATATCCAATCGAATTAAATCCAAGTAGTGTAGTGGCTTCATACGTAAATAATCTGTCCAATTGAATTAATTCGAAGCATAAACCTCATCCAATAGAATTTAATCGAAAAAATATTTCAAATGCAATGGATTGATTTACATCCTACACAACACATTCAACAACTACGTTACCGTCGCTGGGTGCAAGCGGCAACGCCACTTCCCCTTGCCCAGTTTTCTTCTTATTGCGCTTTGGCTTGGCTGCAGCTTGAGCTTGAAGCAACTCGTTGTAGGCTGACGTAATAAACATGCCTCCAACTTTCAAGGTCTTTTTCTAGGACTTCTTCGACGTCTTCACTTGAGGTTTCCGAAGGTCCTTGTCGCGTACCTCGCCATGCACCATGTCGTTGCACCCAGGAGTCATCCAAATCATTGCTTGGTAGAGCAGATGGCTTGAAAAGCGACAGCCGGTACATCATCTTGTCCAGAGACAACGGACATAATCCAGTGCACACAAAGCCATTTTGGATGACAGCCGTGCTCGTCGAATTCGCCCAATCATCACATGCAATCGCAACCGCTCGCTGCTTGTTAATGTTTGTTGGCACATCATTCCAAATGGAGTCGGCCACCGCATGTCGAATCGCCTGTTTGAAGGGGCGAAACACGGTTGCAACAGACGGGTCCCATTCGCCGGCAGAAACTGCAACAAAATGTTGAGTGTCTTGGCTTCAGCGTAAATGAACTCCGAAAAATGCGATGAGCAGCCGTCCATGATGAGCAGAATCGGTCGCTGTTTTCTCGACGGAATGTTCGCGTCAAGCATGGACAGCCACTTGCGGCATATGAAAGAGTTGGTCCAACCCTTCTCAGACGTCATCACAGCAGCGCTAGGAATTGTGAGATTGTCACAGGTTGCAGTTGAGACACGTTGGCCAGGCAGGACAAACAGCGGTGGTAGCTTCCTTCCATCTGCTCCAACACAAGGGGTAAAATGTGCCGAAGCAGTGGACTCCTCGGCATGGACAGATGTTGTTGATTTGTGGACGACCACCTTCTTGGATGTCTTCGAAGGAGAGAAGCTGGTTTCATCCATGTTGAAAATCCGTGTTGGGTCCATGTCGACCTAGGACGCCGAATGTGCGAGTTGGTGGACAAACTCAACAATGGTAGTGGAGTCGACAGAATTGCGAGACTTGGTGAGAACTTGTGCTTTCATGACCTGAGGTCAGGGTGACGGCCCAAGAACCGACTGTGCCAGCCGGTGGACAGACTCGGGAGATGTTGGATGCCGTGTACGCGCTGGAGCATCTGGGTGCCTTCTGTTTGATTTTGCGACAGCCCACAGGATGACCGTCTCGTGCCATTACGAGCACCCATGTGGCCAAGTCGTCCTCAAACATGAACGGCAGCAGAGGAGATGGCCCCATGGTTACGTCATTGGTGTTGACGCCGGACTTGGCTTTGGCCACATGTTTGCGAAGTGTACGTTGCGGAATGTCATATGCAGCAGAGGGAACAGTATGTTCTTCGCTTAAAACTGCTTGGACAGCCAGGCTCAGCGTGTCATGTGCGTACGGCGTTCTTGGCGGCATTTGCTTGAAATTCAAATGAATAAACCTTCGAAATATAATTCTTTTCCCACCATTATGTTTTACAAGGTTATTTGCATTAAGAGTTTCATCATTTCGTCCAATGAAAATGCGCCAACAATGCACATCTTTCAACCGCACGACAATGGCTACAACCGCACGACGAATGGCGGCCTGCTGCACATAATGGAGACTAACGGCCTTACCGATCATGAGACCATGAGCCGACCTCTAAAAAGCCTCATAGGTCAGCGCCATGCAGAACAGAGACTGCGATCAACAACATACATGATCCGAGAGACTGCGAACATCGACAACAACAACTTGATCGCCCAAAAATTCTACCCCTACGTAGAGGAGACTGAGAACAAGGAAATCCCGTTTGCAGAAGTTGTCTAGTTATTGTTTATCTATTGAAGTTGTCCGTTCATTGGGCGTGTGCACAGACTTTCAGAGGTACATCTAAAAAGTCTTCGATCTGCAGACCAGGTGTACTGAATTAAGGTAATGCAGTTCAGGAGGACTTTGATTAACTCTAATAGATGACGAGAAAGGGCTGGTTACCGATAGAGTCCAATGGCCGATCCTAGCAAGAAGCGTGTTGTGTGTCCGGTAGTCGACTGTGAGGACAGGTTCGTCGCGGAGACAAACAAGAAGTCGCATTACAATAGTGTGCACTTCTCGAAGAACCCCATTCTGGAACCCTACCGCCCTAGCCTCTTCGCGGAGATGGGAGCGGACGACCATGACGAGTACACCCGTCGCACGGGGATTATCCTCCACGCGTCGCCCAACTTTGTTCAGCCTGCGGAAACCTCTGTTTTCTCTTCCATGTGCAGGAACACAATGTATTGAACGATGTTGCGATTATCCACATGCTTAATGTCCTTCTTAAGAAGCGTGGCGTCGATGTCGACCTAGTGTTTTTGGGCCATGCCATGCGTAACCCGACCAATGAGCAACAAGCAGCCGGAGCGAACGAACACGAATCCAGCGAGGAAGAGGTAGTGCAACCCCCACCGCCAAAGAAGCGTTTGACGGCGAAGCAAGCAAACGTATAGCGGCTAAGAGTGGCAAGAAGTAGTTATTGAAATTACATGTAACAATGTGTCCTAATTGAAACCGTTTCGTCCTATTGAAAACTAGGGCTATCTAGGTGGTACTAGTACACGCCAGTACATACTACTCTCACCTCTGTGCCACTAGGTTGGACTAGGCTATACTGTGGGTGGCTATAATGAACTAGGAATATATAGTTGGCAGTAGCTACACACAGTGAAATATAGTATAAGATACATATATTATATACGAATCATTGGTCTTCACTCGTGCGGCTCATAGAACATTGTGCATTCGGGTGCTTGGGTAGTACGTTGCCTCTTTCGCTGGTTTTGAACTACTTCAAGAGTCCGCCGATACAACCGCAATGGGAGCAGTGCCTTATCCACCTTGGCTAGTTGCAGTGGCGCATGCTCCAGGTCACGTGCATGTTCACTCAACCAACGCGACATTTCTAGGAGACATCCATTGAATTCGCCGACGCGTCCAGTTGTACCTCGTCCAAACGCCGCACTTCACGCACGTTAAGATCGCTTGTCCTGTTAAGTGCGCTGTCATGTAGTTCGGGCTCTGGGGGGAACAACCTGTGGAACCTTGTATTGCGGTGGCATTTTCTACACATAGTTAGGTTCTTGAAACTATGAAATGGGACTTACTGTATATTTGTGCGCCGACATGTACTCATGTACAAGATGCTTGCACAGCAGGAATTCGCCATATGAGTACGACTGGCACGAGCAAGTCCACCGCAGTAGTGAAGTGTCATAAACGATGTTAAGGTCGCCGTCACTTGCCTTGATGGGAAGCACGAATGAACGCGCAGTGGAAAGTGCTTGCCAAGAAGGCAACGCTAATATGTAATATGATCATAATACGCGACGTATTGAGTTAGCTTAGCGTGTAGGTACCGTATGAAATACGTGCGTCGGCCGCTCGTACGAATTTGTCGCAAAACCATTCTTGGACGTTTGTAACGACGATGAAGCAGAGGTGGTCAAAACGAGGCCTTTGGTGCTCCTACCCGTACGTAACAACACTGTTATCCCTAGTTGTAACTAGTAATCACTTGCTAGTCCTTTGTGTCGCTAGTGTATCCTAGTCTAGCCTAATACCCACTAGGTAGTCCTCTGTCGCGCTAGTGTATCCTAGTCTAGCCTAATACCCACGAGGTTGTACTATTGTTCTACGTACACTTACGCCTTACCTTGAGGAAACGATGCTTTAGAGTATAGAAGTGCGCTTCAGCCATCATACTCGTTCGTAGCATTGCCAAAGCGGTCGGACACTGCGATCTTGACCAGTGCTTGAACTCAATGGGAGCATACCAGTTGTTCCACAAGTACACACACAAACAAGTACGACTCGCCGCTCGCGTGGCAAAAAGTGTACATCTCTTCCACAGCTTTAATGTACAGAATCCGCGCTTTGTCGTCCGGTGAAATTGCATCCTCCTAGCATTTCACCTTACTGGATAATACTTCCTGGTGCTCTGGAGTTGTAATTAATTTTCACTGGTACTGTATTGCGTTTCAACACACATTCCACGTACGTTCATGGCTATAAACGGATGTGACTTGTAATGCGACTTCATCAGTTGCCGCAAAGATTCAAGGACGTCCGTGTTGCAAAACAACTCGTCTGTCGGAATCCCTCCATGAGCCCACACAACAGGAAAGGCCTATGTGTAACCTTGAACTTGTTGGAGATTTTCCGATGGAGTGAATCTACATAAATTCGAAGCACGAATTCGATTTAGATAACCTGCCTGCGAATGTCAGAAAACGTTTTGCTTTGGTGAACCCGCACTCGAACAGCTCTGTCCATGTGCCAAAGGCACAAGGACAACTTTACATCAGCCCACACCAACGTCGCAGCCGACATCTGAGCGCTGTCCTTGTCCATGTGCACAAACTTTGGGTTCAGGCCGAAGTCATCACGAAGCTTCACTAGCCACGCATGAATATATGCAACCTTCACTCCAGCGGTGTCTAAAACGTATACTATATGGTTAATACAAGACTAGGTACCCCTAAGCATTCCTAGTAACCACTAGTGCACCATGGTGATATCTAATGTTCAACAGTACTCACAACGGATGCATAGTTACCACTAGTGCTTAGCGTTTTCCTTGAGAAAGAAAAAGGACACCGGATATCCTTGACCCCGAAATGGAACCAACACAACGTACAGTTCGAAGCTCGACGCGTTGGTTTTGTGAGTGGAATCCATAACACACTCGGTACTGGATGACATGCCGAACGTGTACTTCGCCTGCGACATTGAGCGAAGCAGTTGAGTCAATACCCACACAACGTTGTCAACGTGTCGCACGCCTTGGACATGCAGCTTCGTGAATGTATGTTCCGCGACTCGCCGAGATATTTCTCCGCCGAAGTGAACGGGTGCTGGTGCGACTTAAAGTGCTCGTGCATAATCTACACAATCGTATATTGCGAAATCTCTTTTTTTCATGAGCTACCATACGCCACATATACCCTATTTGTGATATGATCAGTGGAGAGGGCAGGAAGCAGCAGCAGACACGTGTGTGGATGGAGGAAGAACTGAAAGTATATTAGTTCTGACGGGAGAGAAATACAGCCAATCAGACTACACTATGATTGGCCACGACATCTGCGATGTTTCGTGACAAATGTCTGCGCTGTCTTCAACCTGAGGAAAAGCCTCTAAAAGGCACA